CTGTAAACAGTTATATCAGAAAAGGACTTGTTATGGCCCCACCTAGTGCTTTTGGAAGTCATCAGTGCTGATGAGGAATAAGTGCTCAGAAATTATCCAAATTCTGTAGGTGTGTGCAGTTTGTCACAATGCCTGTCAACTCATTAAACTTATTCGATGTACATAGTCTTTATTTTGTTGTTACACAAGCTGACTGTAGAGAGATACAAATACCTGCCATGGATGTAACTGCTGCTGTCATCAGTATAAATTATGTCACATTTCCAGCTCGTTGATCATAAATTAAGCCTAATACAAATTCTCTACTGCTGCACCACTATTTTTTATAAATTGAAAGTCTCACCTTTATTTCACCTATGTTGAGGTGCAGAAGTGAGGAGGAAACTCAGCTTTATATATTCTTCCCTTTTACACAGTCCATGGGAGGCAATAAAAAGTATCCACAGAACATCAGTTCTTGTTAACTTGCATTATCCTGAGCCACTACACAGTGAACTCTTCTGAGGGCATCCATAGGTTATAGTACAGTGGAGGCAGGGTGTAAGATACAGATTTCCCTGGATTGCTAAGAATCTGGGGATGCTCAGGGGTGTAGGGGGCTTAATCTATAGCCACTTCCAAAAGTGAGGAATCCTACTCTGTTAATGGGATTACTCAGAAAATTCTACAAGGAGAAATGGATGCTTTTTTTCTCTTCATTTAGGTAACAATCTGGCCTTGAGTTACTCGCATAGTTCTAAGCTATAGTCTGGGTGAGCTAAAATATCATCTGGTATACTAAGCATATATATCAAATGCATTTTCAGTAGGAGCAACAATAAGTACAAGTGATATGTTGAATTACTAAACACAAACTTGCCTGAGTTTTGTATGATTTGCTTGCCAAACTCCATGGAACTGACACTCTTTTCCATGGGAAGATGAGAACTAAACTGTATTTGAAGAGCATGGAATGAGGGAGCATCTCTAATGCAAACCCTCTTTCTTAGCAGCTCGCGAGAGCTCCAGCCTTCATAGGCTCAGTGACTCAAGAAGTCAACAGGACCAGGCTCTAGGCCAGTGGTTCTCAACCCATGGTCTGCGGGCCACATGCAACCCAACCAGCACATTGCTGTGGCTCACGTGACATTCTGTTAACATGTTTTTTAAATGGATACACAGGAAGCAAGTTGTGTGGATTGTTGTGATGAAGTTCACATATAAAAAGTAAAGTGAGATGACTACAAATCCAATTCAAGCCAGGAGGATGATTTAACACTTTCAGGGTAATAATGACATAGATGTCTCGTTTAAAGAAAAATATGACTGATTCACCTTTCTCCACTTCTTAAGATAGAAAACTAACTATTCAATTAAATGAAACAGTGGTTTCTGTCTATCATCATATCTTCTCTTTCTTTCTTTCCCCTTTTCAAGTTATGCTTGAATGTCCCCTTTTCAAGTTATGTCTTTAATGCTCACCCTATTATTTTTGCTTCAGCACATGATATGAGACCACATGGATGTTAAAAGATTCACACCGTGAAGCAAGCTTTAAATATTAAGACTCATTGTGTAATGTGTCTTGTGACCAGTGTGTGGAGATGTGTCCATGTATTTGAAAATAAACTATATTACTACACTTGGTTAAATTACAACAAGGGAAATTCTCACTGTAAACATGTACTGAGAAAGAAGAGTTGCATATGAAAATGCATTAACATTAATTTATCACATATGTCACCTCTCCTGCATTATATGCATTATTGTTTCTTAAAAACAAATTATGATGTCAATGTTGGAGTGCCTCAGAATTTCCATATAATATGCTGTCATGAAATATTACTAAGAAATTATTTGAGTTTATGCTGGAACACAGCAAAGGCAATATTTTTAGCTTGGTATACTGGTCATCTTGAGAGATTTTCCTTTCTTGGGCCCTATGGTTCACCACTTTTTACTGAGCTGCTAATGGTTTTGTCTGAATAAAGAGGACTCAGTAAAGCCCGATAGTACTAGTTCTTTCAAAGGCATTATTTCCCTAGCCTCTTTATTTCAGATTGAACTTTCACAAGCAGAACTGGTAAGCAACACCCCAAAAACCTATACTAGGGCTTTGTGGAGAGTGTGGTTAGTGAAGTGGTTAGTGAAGGAGGCAGATAGATGTATATGCCCATTCCATTAGCATGGAAGTTTATTGTTATATTTGCATAGCTGTCTGATTCTTAGTTATAAATGAACAGGTAACTATCTTCAGCTACAGTTTTGTTACTAAAATAGTATGTTTGGGTACAGCACAGTTGTCTTTATATATAGTACTTCAAAGTAATTATCTGTCCAAGCAATTTTCAGAGGTTAACAAAATCAGTCATGCTACTGAAAGATAGGTATATTTTGCTTTATTGATGGAAAATAGTATTTAGGTAATATATTTACCTAAATGTCATCCTCAGATTGTGCAAAAATGCTATCTAAACTTTATGTAAAATGAATACAAGGAAAGACAGACCATGTGAATCCTGTATCATAAGTCAGTCTTCATTTAAAGAAGGAGAACATTCAAAACCAAAATTCAATTTTCTCCTGGTAATCCTCTTTTTTTCATTTTTACACATTAATTCCACATTTCAAAACTATTTTACATTCTGGCATGTCACACTGTTACAGGGAATAGAAATCAAAAGTGAAGTGTCAGCATTTTGTTATGAGACATTATTAGCTGAAATGAAAAATCTATGTATAACAACACTTTGTTTGAATGAGATAAGGAAAAAGCATTAAAATGAAACTAGTTACAAACAAGAAATTCAAAGATATTTTTCCAGTTTACTTTTATTATTTTAAATGGTAGTGTATATAGTTAAGAGCATGTCTTATAATATCAGTCTTATGCGGTGTTCACTTTTATAGTAACAACTGTATAGAAGCTAAAATACTAATATGTTTGTCAGTAGTATGGACCCTTAACCAACTTTACTGAAGTGTGATGAAAAATAAAATTTGTGACCTGTTTTGAAGATGCAAAACATTGTATAAATGCTAATTCCAAAAAATGAAAATATGGATAACTAACTTTATAGATCTAAGTACAGTAAGTGACCTGATTTTTGGAGATGGTGACCAGTGGCAGTTCCCAACAAAATCTATGGTAACTACAGGTGATCAGCAGCTGTTAAATATCAGGTAAATTATTTTAATACTTAAATATGGATTTAGCTGTCTAATTACCATATTCTCTACCATACTCAATTGAAGTAGGAAAGTGACTCATCATAATGCTGGTATGCATAACCTTTGGTTTCTGTCCAACACAGCATCAAATATAATTTTGATTTCCAGGGTGTGCCAGCTCTAAGAGACAGGTGCCACACTTACCCATCCTCAGTACGGTTCAGAAATTATTCTGCAAGTATCATATCTCATTCGTTTCAGTGAGAAGTACGGTATTAGTCAACATATGTATGTCAGAATCCAGACTCTGTATAAACTAGAACCTGCCATGCACCCCCTTCATTTCCCCCTACAGCACAAAATAAGCAGCAATGAAATGACATAGAGTGAAGGGTAGAAAAACTACTAAAAACAGTGTCAGGTGATTATGGATCATATGCATCACAAAGTAGAGAAAAGAACCAGATAACTTTTCTGTAGCCCCATAGCCATGTGAAAAACAGCTACTTCTTGTCATGACACAAAAGGCATGATTTTGTGTGTGCTTCGGCACCAGAATTATCCCCACCAAGTTGCAGAGCATTGCATGGGAGAGTTTCCTGTTGCAAAGGAAAACCCCGGTGCAGGGACGAGTTTCCCGCCTTTTCTGCAGCTTCTTTTACAGAGTGCATTGCTCATGTTGCAAGAGGAATGCACGGTGCAAAAGAGTTCCCGCCACCGGTATGCAAATTCGTTCCCCGTGATTGGCTAGTGTTAAATTATTCACACGTGGCGGCTAACGATTGGCCTGTTAGCCGTATAAAAGGCTTAAGCGGTTTCCGCCCAAGCCGAAGAGGACTCCACATCCATCTCGTGGGGACTCTGGGTACACGGCAGGGTAATAGAAACCCTGTGTGAGATCCAGAGGGGCTTGGCGGCCTGATCCACCGCCCACCTCTTCCTGTCTTCGAGCGCGACTTTTATAAGACGTATCTACGATTTCTATTTTGGTGGCTCGTTCACCCAGAGCATCCGGAGCTCTGCACTGTGGAGCCTAGCAACCTCCACGAGACCATCTGTGTTGTCTGTCTGTAACTGCAACTCAATCAAGTTTTCCAGCCTACACCACTGCCATCTCGGTGTAAGTAAACAATCTTTAAAACTACCGCTAAGCGTTTGTGCCTAATTCCAGCTTGACGGCCTTCCCTCTCCGACCCGGCGTGCCCGGGCTGCTGGCCACAGCCCGCGTGCAGCACGGAAAAGGGCTCGGGTCGCTCCCGGCCCGCACACTTCTCTCCAAAGTATGTAGGAAAAGCCACCAACAAATGTGCAATGTCTCCTACAGGATGGTGCTGAAGATTCTGAACATTCCTTAGCATCCCAGGCATGTAGTCAGGCATGCCCATTTACTTATAAGATATGCTGTCTGCCTGTTCAATGATGTTTGTTACTATTGTATGAATGTTTTATATTAATAGAGATGTAAGACAAGAGCTAAATGAACACCAGAATATTCCTGTACAACAGTTTTTTAAACAAATCTTTGTTGCCAGAGTGGTTAATGGTATGGGATGCTAGGACACCAATTATAATGAAATTAAAATAACCTCTTGGTTACTTCTTTAAGTATTACATACCAATTTTTAATTTTTTAAGATGTAGTCCTATCAAAATATAATATCAATAATTGAGTCAGTGTTGCCCTACAGAAACCAATTTGAGAACACACTGAATCTCAGCTTATAAAATAGCAGCTCCAAGTGGTGCCACATGCTGCTTATTCTGATATGACACCATGTCTTTCCATGGCAGGATGATGAAGCACCCTAAAATTAGCCCTATTACTACTTCGCGAGTAGGAAGGCAGCAGCCTGCAGTGAGGGGACAAAGAGTCACAAAGAGACACAGGGCAGGAAGGACCTGGAATTGAGGCTCTCTCACAGGCAGGTCACACCACTTTATGGTGAGCAGAGTTGGCTTCTTTACAGATTTCCATGATGGATTGTTTTAGTAGAATTCATTATTCCAAAATGCTTTGGGGAGGAGTTGGATGACCTGATTGTGAAAGCAGAAGGGAAGGTGTTGGTGTAAACAGAAAAAGGAGAATGTATTCTCCCAGATGAACGGGAGAAGCAGGGAGAAGAGTCTCACTGTGAAGGAAAAGGATGGTCTCTTCTCTAAGGCAGTAGGCATGGGGGTTAATCTGAAAGAATGAACAGACCACACTATGTTTCACTGGATAGGACAGAACTGGGGTTAAGGGAAAAGGAAAGAAATAGCTTGGAAACTGGAGATAGAACAATATCACCTTGTTTCTCCCTTATTCCAGACTGAATATTTCTGACATTTTCCCACTTCTCCCACTCGGCCAGCAAAACATTTTCCAGGAGCTAAAGACCTTATTTCTATGAGGAATATTCAGTTAAGGAGAGACAGTCCTTTAAGAATGTGGGAATGTGCATGTGTAGTGGGTGAAGAGGGGCAGAACAGAGACAGAGACAATGAGGTGGAAGATTAAAATGGGTGGTTAGCTTGCTGGACCAGAGGTGAAAGGGCATATGACCAGTAAAACTGGACCTGCAGATGGGGAAAACAGCTTGTGAAGGAACATTTAACTACAACAGGGTCAGAAAGATACAGTGAAATGCATGATGGGCAGATTGGCAATGAAAAAAGAGAGACAAAATATAGGATTTTAAAGTAGTCTTAGGAATTGAAGATCTCAGCCCTTCACTAGCTGAAATAACCTGTATCCATGCGATTATCAGGACATACTAACTCATTTTTTTGTTTCTCTGGTAGTAGGCTGGGAAAAAAAGTCAGGAATAAATAAGTAGGACCAAAAATATTTAAATTGAGTTCCACTGTTCTTGCCTGATGTTCTCTCTAAAAGATTATCTGCCAGTAAGAATCCTGTTCTTCAGTTCATTCTGATTACTGTAAGGTTGGTAGTAAATGAAGTTTCCAGTTTTCATGATTTAATTAAAGATGAGCTACATAACTTTCCCTCCATTACTGAAATCTACTGGGGCATGATACAGCAGAATCTATTTTGGTGTAGTCAGTGCCTGCCAGGTATTTGGTACAGCATGGTCTGAAAAGGGACTATCATAGATGAAGTATAGTCATGCTGTTTGCACTGGATCACATACGCTGTGTTCACATTAGATGAGAATCCTGGAATGGGAGTTATAGATTGCTGTGGAGGAGCATCACAACTAGCAGCAGTTCCTGACTTGCACAGAACTTTAACCCTAAATTTTCTCTGTGTTCTGTGATTTAAAGATCAACGTTAATATTGGATTAATGTGGCTTTACATCATTTACTTTGTCTTTGGTGGAAAAAATGAAGCTGTAGAGGCAACACGACTAGGACCACAAAACAAATGTGCAGAAGACTGAATGAGAGCTGCTGTCCTTATACTCTTGGAGGTCTTTCATTCAAACCATCCATCAAGTGTAACTTTTTGATAGGTATGATTGTACACTAATAATATTTTATTCCTATGAAATTAGAACTGGCAACAATTTTTAGTGCTGATTTTTCACAGAACAGTCAGGTCATTAGTAACTTCCTAAGTTTTCTGTTTGTTTGTTTTTTCTTGGAAATCTTAATACAATGTTTGGTTTTATTTCAAAATGTGAACATATGAAATACAAAAGGTTTACGTGCTCAACATTTCAAGTCAAGCCTGAAGAAATTTAAGCCAAAGTAACTTTATTACTTCCCAGGAGAAGCTGTAGAACAGCTGGGTTCAGCAAACCTCCATCATCCTACTTGTGTTTTCTTCTTGGATAAGAACAAGTTTCCAGTGGCTTGCCAACTACCTCTGATAGTTGGTAGACCTTCTTGTTATTTACTATGTCAGCAAGCCACTGAGGAGCCACCAAGCATGAGCATTAACCCCCTCCCAGAAAGAATGATATTTCAAGTGACAGCTGGTAGTCTTTCTTGGGGTGTGCACATGGTTTGCTGTGTGGAGCAACATAGAGATGCTTCCTGCTTGCTGACAGGGACCTAGGGTAGAAATATGATCTGTAGACTTTTATAAGCATTATTTTAAGGGATGCCCCAGGGATCAGGTCTCTGACACTCAGAGACATGCCATTTTTCTGACTGGCTCCCCACTCTCAAACTGCATCATAGTAATTTTTGCTCACTCACTTGAGTAGTACACTGCAACCATTCTCAGTTTGAAATTCAAGATTCTCCTTCAAAATTTCAAAATTTGTAAAGCTACACAACTTTCAAAGACTATTCTATCTAATTTGATGATTTTTTTCCAATAAATGTGAACAATTCCATAGAGCAAATATTGTATACTAATAAAATTGGGCCACACATAGCATTAGGCAAAACTTTAACAGACAATGTAAATAGTTTGAATGAAAATTTTCGTGTAACTTCATTTTTTTAAATCAAAAGAGTGAAACCAAAACTATTTGGTGTCTTTGAAACATTGACTGTTTTATAATAAATATATTAGTCATTAGGATGAAATACTATTCCACCTATTAGGCATCTAAGCAGACTTAGGAACCTAAGTGTGATTCTATTCCCTATTCAAGTCTCCAAAAAATCCTTTAATACATATATTTTTGTAACACATTGTCTGAAATGAGATTAAATATTACCCTTCAGACTGAGTCATAAAAAAACCCAGCAAGGAGAAAGACCCACTCACCTTTTTTATTAGCAGTTTTCAGTGACTCAAGCAAAGTGGAACAGAGTTGCACATAGGTGCCCAAGTCCACCGATATTCCTAATAGCTTGGATAAAATCTGCTCATTAAGAGTGCAGACAGACATGCAAGTCCCTGCATTAACTCATGGTGCTCTACATAAAGTGCCATGAGTTCAAATGCACCCCTGCCCCCAACAGACATTCACCTGTTGGTCAGGGGGGAGGCTGGATGCAGAAGCCCAGGGACCCTGCCTGCAATGAAGGAGTCATCCCTCTCCCCCAGTTCCACCCTCTTCCCCTCCCAGCTCCAGTGCTGTCTGTAGGAAGAGAGGGAGAAGGGAGGGAGAGCAAGCTGCGGGCTAGGGTTTGCCTGACCTGAGCTGGAGGGTGTAGCCTGGAGGGGGCTGCAAGGTTGGGGGGCTCCAATCCACCCCCCACCCCATTCCAGTTCATGTTGGACAAACCTCAGCCTGCAGTTTGCTCTCTCTTCCCTCTCCCCCGTCCCTTCCTGCAGGCAGCCCAGCCCCAATTGCACCACAAATAAATCCTAGGCAGCACAAGTTCCCTAAGGCATTCCAAAGTGGAGCACCTTCATCTGATCCCTCATTTGATGAGGGTTAACTAGTTGCACAATCAGCCACTTTTAAAGAATTCTGCAGTCGAGCATGTGTGTCACAGCATGGCTGTAGAGCGTCTTCAGGGGGCCAATTGCGTGACAAATATATCTTCTGTCTGTGCCCTATGAGCCCCAGCCCCTGAGAAATAGCCAGCTGATGACTTTTATAAACTTGGCCTCTAGGTAGGGTTTGCAAATACTATGAGCTTCTAAACAGTCAGTTCATGATCATTCTGAATTTATTTGGCTTTTCTACTGAGTTTATAATAGCCATGAGTATTGAAATAGTCTGTTTATAACTGCAATAATCCCCAGTGGCTTCTCTGCACAATTTATAATAGATACAAACCTAGAAATAGCCTATTTATAACTATTACAGAGTCAACCATTCCAATGAGTTTATATACAGCTTTGATCTCTGAACACAAGATTCTTATGAAGTTACAATGTTTGCATACATACTAACAGTTTGTGACATTTTAATTGCCTAAAATATTATTTTATGTTTAATTACAAAGGACCAAGGTTTTGAGTCTTTACACATGCAGTCCTTGCTACTCAGTGTCTTCACTGTTAATTTTGACTAAATAAGAACTTCACTATTGGGTCCAATAATTCTAAAATACTTTCTTTCAATGTTTCTTGATCACTTCATCCTTCCCCTCAAGCATAGCAAAAGAAAATAAATGTCATTTGACAAATAAATAATTCAATATATACATATATAAAAGGGACATAAATCCATACCTTTGGTTGAAATTATAAATGTTAGGAGATTATCAGACAAGAATACTAAAGGGTTAAGTGTGTAGTGATATGTTACTTAAACACCACAGGAACATTATAGTTTTTTAAAACAACATAAACAGATCTTTAATATTATATACATAAGCCTAGATCAGCCCACCTAATTCAGAATCCACAGCAGAGGAGCCTTCTGTGCATGACTGTCTTCAGATACAGGCATAAAGGAGTGAAGTTTTATCTCTAAAACCACCCCCAGCAAAAATAAAGGTTGTCACCTGTGCTCCAGAGACTGGTTATTGAACAGAGGAACTGGTTCATATATGGCTTAAGGCAGCAGTCATTAACAACTACCGGTTGCTTGGTGGTTTGTTTAAAATGGTTTTGTGGTTTCATTTCAGAACCTAATAAAGAACGTACATCCTCAACTCTCTCAACACACACTAGGTATGCATGTAGTTGGTATAGCTGCGCTCCTCAGGATAGACCAAACAACAGTTCTGTACTACTCCTAGACTGTTCATTATCCCTCTAGGTCAAAGATATGGTACTTATTTGTTGTTAAACAAATATTTTGGGCACATATTCATTCATATCTTTAAAGTGCTTTTGTTTTCAAAGCATTGCACTCTGAAAATTTTGCCCATGGTGTTTTGTAAGTTTTTATCAACTCTCACAATTTTTTTAAATTTATTCCAACTTACATCATTGGATAAAAAAATAATGCTTTATTGTTCGTAACTGAAATTTCAGTTTCTTCTTGAATATCAATCAGTAGCTAGAAGACTGAGCAGGGGTTGGTATTTAGTTAAAATACAGGGCTGGGTTCTATCACATTTTGACATAAATGATAGCAAATTATTTTATGCTAAAAGTCAGTTTAAAATTAAAATGAAAAATAAGGTTTAAATGTAAGATTAAAAGAAGGAAGATGACTCAGTGGCCTGAGGAAGGAAGAAGAGAGTTCCAGACACATGAGACAGCACAAAGGAAAGACTGACAGCATCATAGGGAGGGGGTAGTAAGTTGATCATAGGGAAAAGATGTAATAGGGTGACACAGAAGGCTCCTGGTAAAAGTGTAAACTAGCTCTCAACTCCTATCACCTAATAAGAAACTTGTTTAAAGTTAATATACTTGTTAAGCTATGTTGGTTCACAGAATTATTTGGTATAAAGGAGGAAAATATTAAATTCCATAGGACTTCTGCAGGTGGAGGGAGGTTCATTATTCTCTAGTTTTGTTTAGTTTTCTTTTCTTTTCAGATTTGTGTTTTCTATATGATTAGTAAGAAAGGCAAGATTCAAAGCAGTGGTGATGCATAGGGGTTGCACAGGGGTGCACGTGCACCCCCTGAGAGTGCTGGTGCACCCCTTGACAGCCAGCACTCCCCGCTTAGACGATGGGCAGGTGGGGCAGGCGGAAGTGCTGGTGCCCACCCTGCGAGCACCAGCCAGGGAGTGGGGGCACCAGGAGAAGTGCTGCTGGCACTTTCAGGAGCGCCGCTGGCACTTCTAGGTGCCCTGCTCGCGCTTCCGGGTTGGCACAACCAGCTGCAGGGGGGACCGCCCCCGGTCACCAAGATTGTCCGTGGGGGGACCCAGTCACCCATGAGTCAAAGTCTTTCCACTGATTTAACTGATTTTAGATCAGCCTCTAAGAGACAGTAATCTCTGTTAGCTCTTCATCTAGGACAGTAGGGGGGCAACCTTTTTGACAGGCATGATACAAAGTTGCCATGCACTCTCCCCAAATGCAACTCTGAGACTCCTCCTCTACCTGATCAACTGCTCTGCTTTCTGTTCCTTACCTTAACTGCCACTGTGTTTCCCATCCCTTTCCTGATCTGCCACATCATAGTATCATAGTGCTTATGATCAGAAGGGACCTAAACAGATCATCAGGTCCAACCCCCTGCCCCGGAAAGGAACAGGTGCCGGGGTCATATCACCCCAGCCAAATATCTGTCCATGCCACACAAAAAGGCTGCCTCTAACAGTTGGTGGCACACATGCCTCTGGCTGGCCACCCCGATCTAGGGTATGTGTTGAGGGTGACCCTTGATGCCAGAACAGAGGACTGCATTGCAACCTGCAGCCACATATTTAGTAGACCTGTGTGAAGTGGCTGGTATTCACTTTGGATTCGGCCGATTCAGGGGACAGTGATTCAATTCGGTAATTAAGATCACTGTCCTGAACTGATTCAGCCAAATCTCTAAATCACCCAGGCCCAGCCCCAGCAATGGCTGCCCTGCCCACCCCAGCTCCTGGCACTTAAAAAAAAAAAAGCTCTGACTCACTGGGTCCTGCTGGGCAGGGGGCGATCCCTGCTGCCCCCTACTGCATGGAGGGCTCTGCACAAGCCCCTTGACCCCTCCCAGCCCCCACCATGGCTGCCCTGCCCACCCCAGCTCTGGCCCTTTAAGAG